AGTTCTTCAAACGGCCCAGGGTTCTCTGGTCAGATGAAACTAAAAAGAGCTTTTTGGCAGCAAACACGCTAGATGGGTTTGGTGCACACACAAGGATAAAAAGTACCCCATGTGTACAATTTAATATATCGTTGGATCTTTAATGTTGTGGGCATATTTTTCTGCCAGAGGTCCTGGACTTCTTGTTCAGATACATGGCATCGTGGATTCTATCAAATACCAACAGATAAAAAATTTAAACCTGACGGCTTCTGCTAGAAATCTTATAATGGGCCGTGGTTGGATCTTCCATCAGGACAATGATCCAAAACAAACATCAAAATCAACTCAAAAATGTGTCAATGAGCACAAAATGAAGCTTCTGCCATGACCGTCCCAGTTCACTGACCAGGGGTCTCATTTATAAAACTGTGCGTAGGATCCTTACTAAAAGTGTACGTGTGCCCGAAAGCCAAAGATGGCGTACGCCAAAAAATACCGTATTTTCCGCACTATACGGCGCACCGGATTATAAGGCGCACCTTCAATGAATGACCTATTTTAGAACATTTTTCATATATAGGGCGCACCGGATTATAAGGCGCATAAGATACTGCAGTCAAACGTTTGACTAGGTTTGCGTTATGCATCCACTAGATGTCAACAAATGTCAACAAAACAGTCAGATAAAGTCAAACTTTATTAAGCGTTCTGACAACTCCGTTCACTCCCATGGTAACGTTGTTCAAACGTTAAAGGAAAACTCCGGTCAATTTTAACATTTTTTGTACATTTGGAGTGCTGTCAGTACAGATAACAACGACAAAACCCGGTGTTGCCTACACCGTGTTATCCTCTTTTTAAAATTTGCACCCTGTTGACTTAAACGGGACAAGTTTTAAACCTGCTTTTAGCCTCTTAACAACCTTAATGTGTCATTACAAGTGCACAGCCATGTGAGTGAACACGGTGAATCTGACTGCAGTAAATGTGAAAGATATGAATAAAAATGATGTTTATTCAGCCAGCTCACATACCCGTATTTTCTTCCTGGTTTCGGTCGAAGTCCACAGTAGGCGATTGTCGAGTGCGCGCGCTGCGCGCGATCATTGGTAACTAAGCAACAGTGGAGACTGTCAGCTGTCAGCCGATGACGGTACTGTGTGGTGTTCTGAGAATATCAGCTCAAATGGACAGTTCATCCGAATCAGATGTTGAACACACGGAGGAGGTTTGATCGCGCGCGCGAACTCGACAATCAACTACTGTGGACTTCGACCGAAAACAGGAAGTAAATACGGGTATGTGAGCCGGCTGAATAAAGAGATTATTCCTGCCTTCGTGAAAGCTCGGATCACAGGAGACTGATATATCAGCCCAGGCATCCACGATCCATTGGCAGATAGTGGCGTAAGTCGCCCGGCGCTGTCTCCCCGTCTTGGTGAGTTCACCATCCATATATAAGGCGCTCCGCATTATAAGGCGCACTGTCGTTTTTTGAGAAAATTAAAGGCTTTTAAGTGCGCCTTATAGTGCGGAAAATACGGTATTCAGACTTATAAAACCGTTCGTACGCCAGAACCTGCGCAGTATTCACTTTATAAATCCCAGTCAGCGGAAGATTGTTCGCACATGCGTCGTCTCCTCGAAATAACCAAATATGGAGATTACAACGCCTCATTTTACTATGCATATCCTCTTCTGCATATCATTTGCATATGATTATTCATCTACGTGATAACATGTTTAACGGTTTAGTAGCCTACATTTAGTAGCCTATCCTTGCCTTGTTTTTGAATAAATAAATCAAATAGTGTAAAATACATTTCAGAGAAAGTTTTTCTCAATCTTTTCCACTGGCCAAACAGTATTTTTAATGGATTTATATTTTTTATGGAAACAGATAGACCTTGTTGAGCATTATTTGCACGAATCTATTTTCTCAGACAATTTGCCAATAAGCAATTAGCCTATCTCTGTAGTTAAAACATTGAGAAACAGCATGCCAGAGGAAAAGTGTTCAAAAGCATTGCATCCACAACAAATATTTCTATTTAATGAATATAAAAATGTTGTAACTTCTCAGTAATGATTTCATGGAGTTTAAGTGTTTAACTCCATTAGAGAATGGCATATTTAATCTAAATGTTTATATCAGAAGTAAAACATAGTTTAAATCATTCTTCTATTTATTTAAAGTGATATTGTGAACATGCACTGTATTTATGATTAGGACTCATAAAGATAGGCTACAGTATATATGCATCAGTTTCACTGAACGGCCCAACCCGCTCGCTGGCATGGACATTTAGGAAGGGGTGGATGTTTGCTTCAAGTGATAGGCTTGGTGAGTGAAATTATATTTGTATTATTTTTCTGTATATGTATAATTTTCTTTAGATTTTCTGTCTAAAAGTGACCAAAAAGACATTTAACTCCAGCTTACCATCGGTGTCGCCAAACTGCTCCGTCTCCAAAACGTTTGTACGCATGGGTCAGAGTTTGCATGCAGGTGCGCAAATTTTCCCGTCGTTTGTTTTTATAAATCACAACTTATGCGTCGGAAGTGGCGTACGCCTCTTTCAGGGCCTGTTTTGTGCGTATGCAACGGTTATAAATGAGGCCCCTGATGAGTGGAGTGAACTGAAGAGAAGCGCCAGCATGGATCATGGGAATCTGCAGGATCTGGAGGAAGGGTCTCTGATCTCTTGTCAGGTGTTCTCCAAACTCATCCGGCATTATAGGAGAAGACTCAGAGCTGTTATCTTGGCAAAAAGTATTTAATAAAAGGGTGCCAATAATTGTGGCCAACTTGTTTTGGAGAAAAACATTTATTTCATAATGTGATTTCCCCCGCACTTTCAATTCTTTTACTTCAATGAAAGGTTAGATTTTTGCTACTTTTTTGAATGAAAAATCAAAAGGATAAACAATGCAGATTTATTTTTTACAGCCATTTTTGATCATATTTACCAGGGGTGCCATTAATTCTGACCACAACTGTGTGTGTATATATATATATATATATATATATTAGGGCTGGGCAAGTTAACGCGTTATTATCGCGTTAACGCATTTATTAATTAATGCCGACAATTTTTTTATCGCACGTTAACGCAGTTTTTTTATTTTTTTTATTTTGAAAGTCCGTTGCACACTGGCTCTAAATAGGACATAGGCCTAGAGTCAAACCATGGATCACAGGAGGGGTGGGATGTTGGTCAGCCAGCAAATAACCCACCCAAACCAGCTGCAGTGGAGAGGCTTTGGCAGGTGAACAGAAAGGGAGACAGCGCTCCGCGAGTGAATGACAGGCGCTCTATGGATAGTAACCATAGCAACGGCTTCTGTGCGCAACGCAGCTGTAGTCTTTTTAACTTAAATTAAAATTATACATAACTTTACCTGATGTGCCTGCGTGTAGTTTAGCGGGGATGCTCTGTAATGTGAATTCCCTTCTGTTGATGTCCTGATAACTATTTAAATATTGGAAACTCAAACAGCGAGCCGAGGATCAGTCTCTCTTCCAATGATTTGTACTGCGCGTCGTGTACAAAAAGTTATAGACAATCAAAATCCTTTTAGACAATTCAACTTCGGCAACGGGCGGGCGCGTGCGTGAGGCGAGCGCGTGAGGCGAGCATGAGCGCAACAGTTTCACAGAACGCACCCGCTTGTCGCTGCACCTTGTGCTCGACCAATTCACCTCACTCTAAAAGGCTGATACTTCTGTGTCGCTATACACTACGCGTTGGTTGGTTTTACTTCTGCGTCGTTGTCCGCGTTGACGCGCAATTACACATGCAGAGGGAGCATGTGAAACCCGTGGAGCGGTTCTAGCAATCACAGCGCTTGCGGTGCGCGTAGAATTGACGCGTCGTTAAATTTTTGGAGAGGTGCACGTCAGGGTACGACGTAAGTTCGACACAGAAGTATAAATTGGGCTTTACCTCTGTTTAATGCGATCTTAGTGTACGTGCGAAACCATGGCATGACCAAACCTAAGCTACTATCAGAGAAGTAACGTTGGTCGACTTATATCTCATGACCTCTGACATAGACTGTTTCTGCTGCTAAAAGACACCTGTTGATACCTGTTAAGAAAAAAACCAAGAAAACTGGACTCGTTTTAACAAGCTAGATAAAAGGTAATGCCCTGGCAGTGGCAAATAGCTTTGTTTTAATATTTGATTTGATTACATTAATGTTTAAGTTGAGATTTACAATAAATATTTTATTGCTGTGTAAAGGGAATACTGCTGGTAAAAGCACCTTATTTGTTTAAAGTTTTTGCAAACCACATGTTATTACACTTTTGTGTATATAGCAGTACATTTAAATCAAAAGTGAGTAATAGACTACTTTAGAATTCATTATTAAAGTTTGCGCGTAACAATGCGATTAATCGCGATTAATCGCAAGAAAATCATGCGATTAATCGCGATTAAAATTTTTAATCGTTGCCCAGCACTAATATATATATATATATATATATATATATATATATACAGACATATATATTAATTTAATAATATAATGAACAATTTAATATACATATATATGTGTGTGTGTTAATATATATTAAATTACAATTCATTAAGACTGTTGTTGTAATTATATATGTAATGAATTAATTAGTCTATTTTATATATATATATATATATATATATATAAATTATTCATATTGAATTAAATTACAATTGTTATTATTATAAAATATTTTATATACACATACACGTATGTATATATACAGTGTGTGTGTATATATATGTATGTGTGTGCGTGTGTGCATATTAGTGATCTAACATAATTAGCGGCATATACTGTGTGTGTGTATATATATATATATATATATATATATATATATATATATATATATATATATATATAAATATAATTTAAGCATGAAAAAATATGTATATATAAATCGTATTTATATATAAATGTTTTAATTATTTAAAACTTTTCTTTATAGTTTTTGTCATGTCCTGTTCACCCAAAACACTGCAACTCTCCTTTAGGATTTCCTCATGGAGACGTTTATCATGTTTAAGGATCTCATTGGAAAGAATGTCTATCCTGCTGACTGGGTCATAATGAACATGATGCAGAATAAGTAAGTAGATGTGCTTCATGCATGCTGTTTGCTAACAAATCTTCCCTATAATATGTTTCTTCATCGGCAAAACCTGTTTCTGTTGGTCAGATCCTTTAATCGCCAGACTGTGTGATCTCTACCTGCACTTCATACTGTCACTCGTGTGTGTATATTGCAAATGTTCCAGCTAACTGTGTCAGGATGATAGTTTTTGATAAGATTGGTTGGATATCAAAATGTGTTGTCTTGCTTTCTAAAGACAGCCTGTTTGTTTGAGATAAGACTGTGGGGTTTTGTGCGTTTGGAAACTTTTTGTCTGCCCTGTTTGAGGACTTTCTGGTTTCCAGTGAGGTTTCATGTTAAACTAGTTGAAATGCAGTTCATTCATTTAGCTCTGATTCAGTAAATCTTCTTTCCCCCCCCACATAGTTTTGAGTCAATCTTCTGTGCAAATTTTCTTTTTTCAATTTTGCGCTGGAGGAACATCAGAAATGTGCAGTCGTGTACGCGTGCAGCTTAGAGGGAGCATCTCTTACATTAGCTCTCTCTCTCCCTCCAACACACGCTGCTGTTGCTTAGAAACAGCAGTCAGAAATGGCCAAGAATGTGTTTGTGAATATTTTTTCCCCATCAGTGCAGCATCAGTTAGTGTGTGTGTCAGGCATATAGTGTTTCTGTGTGCACCTGTGTGTATTCACTCTGTTCTCGCTCTATCAGAAGTGTGGCGGCTGCTGAAATGAAAGATATGAATTATGAATCTTGGTGTGTGTGTGTCTCTCTTTCTCTCTGTTGTTGTGTATTGTTTTATTCATGCCTCTCTTTTCAACTCCTCTGCCAAACCGCGTCCAGCGTGACTGTGAAGATGAAGGTTTAGTGTGTTTTCACAGCCAGCAGGAAGTCACACCTGAGTTTCCTGTCGCAGACTTGGATAGTTTTCCGAGCATCCCTGAACCTTCTTGTTTGTCAGTATAATTGGCGTTTTTTGCTGAGGCAAGCATGAGTTCTTAATATTGATCATACTTATTCTTATACTAACTATTTTTGGGGCTTAGCTTACACTTACAAACTTTTCATGATGCTTCAACAGTGAGGACAGATGTGCTGTTACTTTACTAAGTGATCAGACCATTTTTTTTGTACTGTGGCTGAAGAAACGGGGGAAAAATCCTTGCATTGTTGGAGGGACCCAAGTCATATCAAGAGACTAGAGTATCACTGGCCCTGTTGACACCTGGTATTAATATTTGGTTGATAGGATCACAAGTAGATGAACATTCACATTTACACCTGGTGTTTTAATCCGTCTCTTTTGTCCACTTTCAACCACTTCTGTCCTGATTTCTTCGAGGGGAGGGTCTATGGGTGGGTAAGTGAATGTTTTTTTTAGATCTTTCAATCTGAGGGACAAAATAAGCTCGTGCAATTGAAAGGAGATGACAGAAAAACACGTGAAGAGCAGCAGATTCCGTTTCTCCCCTGATATCTGCACAAGACCACGCCGATCACTGAGTGTGTGTTAGAAATCAGCAATGGTGTTAGAACATTATGCTTGGTATGTTTTTCATCTTCAAACCAAACTTGTGTCTTCAGCCGTCAAAGTTTAAATCCTGTCTGTCTAGCTCTCTTCCCGTGATGTTTACGAATGAGTTCAGTATGCGGAGAGAAAACAGTCTTTTGTGCTATTCGAATGCATTCGGCCTCATGAGCGTTTAGAAAGCAATCCGGTCAACTGTGTTTTTCGACCATAGATATCCATAATAAAGGCTAGATGTCTCGTCCGTGCTGCTGACTAATGGAGGTCGACGTCCGCACCTGGCGGCCATCTTGTCACAGGCAGCTCGCTCACTCGTAACATTGTGTTTTAATGGTGCATGTACTTTTTAAATAACCATAACTTGCTCATTCAATTTTCTACCGATTTTCAAATGGTTTGGTTTGTTATAAACATCAGAGATGTAGTTATGACACTGCATACTTATGAATAATAAGTGTATAAATAAATAATCATCCAGAATTCGCCTTTGGCTAAGCCCCGCCCCCCTTAGTTACTGTTGCTACGTCGGACAAACAAACTTCATCTGGGCTCTGGTATCAACATGGCTTATGCTGTGACAGCTCTCCCTGCTGAAATTTTATCAAACTTTTATAAAGCAGCAAATCAAGTGTCCGATAGAAGTAGGCAAAAGCGGCTGCAATATACGTTCGAAGGCTATATTCACGACATACAGGTGAAACGCAAGGAACAACAAGGCATCCAAATAGAGGCAAAAGCATACCGGTCACAGTCAAAAAATGAACCACCGCATATCCTACTAATGGAGACGGAGGCTGGGACTAACAATATCAAGGAGCAACACTGTTCATGCAAAGCTGGGTAGGTCTCTATTCACTTCTATAATCGTTATTACAAAGCAAACGGACTACGCGAGTATAACGTTGTATTTATTAGCAGCGTGTGCTAGACGACACTTGTCAGGATTTGACTTCGGTTTGGGAAGGGAAAAAAACGGACACCCCCTCCAACCTCTCTGGGAAACGCGTATCTGTGTTACAAATGCCCCAGGCACAACGTTTAACCATATTTTTGATAAAACTACGACGGTAATGGCCGGCCGAGACAAAAAATATGAGACGCCTGTGTTAAAGTCAATGGAGCGCTGTGAAAAAGTGTCGGACCACTGTGGGAGCTCGTTCTTGGCTGCGCTGTGATTGGTCAATCTACATTCTAGGGCGTGGCTTAGCCAAAGGCGAATTATAGCCACGTTAATAACGTTTGTAAGAAACCAAACCGTTTGTAAATCCGTCAAGATTTCATCGAGATACGAGTATTTGTGTTCGTGCGGATCACTCATCTTACATCAGGCACCACAGAGCCCGTCAGAAAGCTTGCCTGTGACAAGATGGCCGCCGGTGATGACGATAGAGACTCCGCCGTAAGACATCTAGCCTTTATTGTGGATATCTATGTTTTCGACTACCTGTAAATGGTCGAAAGCGGACAAGCTCAAAACGTTTCACACCCCGTTTACACCTGCATTTAGCGTCGTCCACTTGTGACCCGATCGACCAAAACCCCAGGTGTAAACAGGGCCACAGAGACTTGAGAGTGTTCTTATCACTTGCAACCACCCATAACACCCTAGCGACCACATCGCACATGCAGCCACCCAGAACACTGTGTTAACTTTATAGCATCACTCTATCCTCATGGCGGAGGCTTGTGCACGTGTAAGCACCACTCTCATTTCTCTTGGTCTGTTGTAAATAAAGTAGGCCGGTGCTCTTCAGATGAGTGAATGTGACGAGAAGCTCTGATGTTCAAGGAAACCGTACAGAAATAAGATTCAGTGTAAGATCGCACAGATACTCTCTGAAGTTCTCAGTAATTTCCCAGTCTATCCGTGCTGGGATTGTAGACATGTGGCAGGATGAAATATGCGGCTCTGAAGTTTTGATTTATTTGTGCGTCTAATGCACTTCTCATATATTCCTGTGCTTCTCTCCGCTGTGGAGGAATACGGTCGAGATTGTGTTGCCGCCAGCTGCCGTGTCCTGGTTTGATTGGCTGAGAGGTCGGGGGTCAGGCTTTGATATTGGAATTCATAGAGTCTGGCAGAAGCCACCTGTGTGTCGGAGCGCTGATGGTGAACCCCCTGCAGGTGCACGCATCACATCCTGTGCGCTGGAAAGTGGAGTCACCAGGTGCACGAGACGGTGGAGAAACCATGTGCAGTCTCTCTCTCTGTAACGCACTCAGTGGGCGTCATTGATGGAGGCGGATAAGAGCTTGTTTAATGGGCCTTGCTGCATCTCTCTCTGACTACCTTTCCTTACCAACAGCGATGTTGCACGGCAACATGAACACAGACATTCACAGACATTCAATTAAATCTTCCAGTTAATTAATATTTGAATACTTTGAATATTATTGTTCATGTCATACCCTGAGCAATACTTTTCTATAAGGCCTTACATTTGTGTTTTAAAGTTGAGTAGAAATAACTGGATTTATTATGAGTGTTTGGATGTTAACAATGTGATGAGCAGACATGATGAATACATTCTGTGAAAATGACTAAAAATAAAACAGCACTTAGATGTTCACAGTCTATATGAGGGGTCTGGAGGATGCTTTGTTTTGTTGCAACACCTTGTCGTGGTGTAAATATATGCTCTTTATGAACACCTGAACCGTGAGCTGCCTGGAATAGTGTTTCTATTTCTTCCCGGGTGTGATTAACACCTTCAGTCACTTCCATGGCAGAATGCAGGTGATGTTGAATGAAGACACCTGCGCTCAGTTAATGAACAATCCTAGATTAGATATCATCTGATGTTTGTGTTTATCCAGCTAAATTAACTTTAATAAAGGAGCTGTATGTGTAAGAGAAGTTTCACGTTTTTACATAGCAACACTGTGTGAAACGATAAAATCAACCAGGCGCATAATTATGTTAGGCTGTGAATTTCAGATTTACTGTGCAAATATGGATGTGCATAATATATATTCACAGTGCATATACCAGTACTTCTATGCGTTGCCATTTTTTCTGGCTTGCATAAAATCTAAGGTTGCTGTCTTCACAGATCACAAGCTCTCTCACTTCTCATCTGGATTAATTTTGCTGACTTTTTTTGTTTTTTAAATGATCCCAAATTAGTCTGAAAATGTGATGCTGCAATTTTTAAACGTATTTTTATCTCAAAAACCTGTCATCTCTCTCAACATGTCTCTCATTAAGAATGAATAGCACCTGCTGATAGTGTTGTTTTTGAACCCGGTTAATTATAGTAATTATGCAAATCAGGTAATGCCACAGTCACACCAATAAAATTCACATGATATTCATAGAAATGTGTCCAGACATTATATATACACACACTACCATTCAAAAGTTTGAGGTTGGTAAGGTTTTGAGGTTTAAAATAAAGTTTATAATGCTCACCAACACATTTATCAAAAGTAGAGTAAAAGCAGTAATATTAATTTTTAAAATAACATTTTATATTATAATGCA